CAGCCTGCAAGCAAAAGGTCCGCCTGATTCGACGCGCTGGAGTGCAATCCAGGAGGCCTTTGGGGCGTTGAAGTCACCTACCAGCAGGAGGTGAAATGGTCGACTTCAATCAGCACCGCTGCAAAAGGTTTGCCTGTTTCGACGCGCTAGAGCTCAATCCAGGAGACCTTTTGGGCGCTGAACTCACCGACCAGCAGGAGATGAGTGAAGTGGTAGTTGGAGGAGAGTTGCTCAAGGGTTTGTGTGAGGAATTGGTCATCTTCAGGGGGACTCGAAGGGCTACGGTAGACCACACCGAGAAGAAGAGAATCGTACCCGTGAAGCGGGATTTGGACCCACATTGCATCGCAAAAGGGTGCAGGGGTTGTGTCAGAGAGGACAATCGGGACTGGTATGGCCGCATGTAAGTACAAACAAACCCCACCAGCCCTCCCTCGTTTTGAGTCAGCTCGAAAAACAGAGTAACCGTCTATCGAGATCTCCACGTCAGAGACATCTGGTGTGAGCCAGGTCTGTGTGAGTGCGAATATGGACGGTTGTTCAAGGCAAGCTGACTGTTTAACATCGCCGAGTTTGTTTAAAAGGCTGAGGCAGTTTGCGGACAAGAATTTCTACACTGTCTCTGCTTCCTCCAAGGGTGAGGAGCCGAAAGTTGAGTGACCAGGGTGGTTATCAGACTTGATAGTCGTGCACCGGATTTGAGTCTAGGGCTCCAAGGGGGCCTCTGGGGCGATGTTGTCTGCTCCCTGTCTTTGTGGTTTCTGGGGGTGCTTTTCGCTTGCGAGGTTTTTTTATTCCTTTGGAGCCCGGTTTGCTCGGGGCTTTTGACTTTGTGGGACGGAGTTTTTTCCCCGTGTGCGAAAATTTCGGCCGATGCTGTTTGTAGTTTTTACAGCATCCCCTTTTCGTCGATCAGATTTGCTGTTGATCAAAGATTTGCTGCAAGCTTTCGCTTTTTTGGATTCTTGGGGGTTTTTTGCGCGGTTTGACCGGAAAGTGTCTCTGTGAGGCCCTGAGCGCTGGGTGGTGGCACCAAGAAGTAATGATTTTATTGGCGCTCCCAAGAGGCTCGTTTTCGCGGAGGACTGAACCTTGAAGCCAGACGGTGCCTTTCTAATCTGGCGATTTTTATGTGGCTTGGTTGGCTTCAGTTGCTCTGCTGATGTGGTATACCATTCTCGTCTTTGTTTCAGTTTCTATGCTCGCTGTGATTTCATCGCCTCCAGTCAATTTTTTGTTTGAATGAACCACACCGCTACTCACAACCCTTTCTTGAATCTACCTGTGGCGGTGCGCGTTTGCTTTCTCCATTCAGGCGCGCCACTTTCTCTTGAAGCCCGCTAGTAACTCTCAGTGAACCCTTTTCAACCACGGTGTTACACCGTCCCCTGGAATGCTTCCATGTGATTCTTTGCAGAGCTGTGAACTTTTAGAAGCTTGGTCAGTATTCCAGTTCTCGCAGCGCAGCATTCTTCAAGTGATGACCCAAAGTGGTGGATACTCCGCGGCTGCCCTAAATTTTTCATCAATTTTCTATTTTAAACGCTGTCCATATGTGGTATTTTCAGCTATGAAATTTTAGTAAGCCAAAAGACGGTGTCCAAAATTCTACAGACAGTGTTCAGGGCCACAGTTTCCCGAGAGGGACAGTACATGCGTTTATATTGTCCCGCTGAAGCAAGAGAATTTCACCACTATCTTTTCAACGAAAATTATCAATTCCGGGTTGAGTTGCACCAGGTTATAGGGGTGTTCACTGGGGGGTCGGATTACACTCGGGTGAGTTCATCTTTACCATAAAGTGCCTGATACTAACCATGATAATGAGGTTAAAAACACTAGAGTACAAAGCAGAAGACCCGTCTAAGAAATGCGGAAAAGGAGGTCATTTCCGTGGTGTCACCCAGACACAAAGGTTGAATAGTTTTTCAGTGACAGCTAACCATCTACTTCCAGCTCCATCCTGTATGTTCAGCAATAATCGCAGTTTACGAACTGATAGAAAGTGTTCAGGGCCACAGTTTCCCGAGAGGGACAGTACATGCGTTTATATTGTCCCGCTGAAGCAAGAGAATTTCACCACTATCTTTTCAACGAAAATTATCAATTCCGGGTTGAGT